ATGTGCTAATTCAAGTTGTTTAGTAATTAAAATGTTTTCTCCATTTGACTGTTGTGTTCTCCTAAAGGGCATCGGGATTTAATCCCCCAATGATGGAGATTTAAATGTATCAAAACTGGAATGTAAAAGTATTTGCACTGCACTTGTTGTCATTGAAGCTACTTATGTGAATGGCTGCAAACAAATCCAGACACAAGTTTCAGATGCTAAACTGTAGCAATGCAGCATTTTTTCCTTGTCTTTCTAGGATTTTGTTTGTGTTTCCCATATTTTATAGCCCTTAGTCTTCCTTCCAAATCCCCAGGCTGTCAATTTCTCCTGCACTGGGACAAAGTGTTCAAATATTTCTAATATGAAATTTTGCAGTTTTGATACAAAAAAGCAAAAAAATCAGGGAGTGTAGCCAAAACTCTGCCCTGGTAACAGCTGCAGGCCCAGGTCAGTACAAGCACCTTGCAGATGGTGAAGATGCCTCCTTCTGGGGATGAGCCAAGCACAGGACAAGGAGTAAAATGCATAAAACACATTAATCCTTTAATCATCCTGCCCTTTTTGTGATTTACATTACCACTTTCACTACCCAACACACCTGTCACAGGTCAATACACACATCAAATCCTTCTTGTTCCTCTTCTCCTCCCGTCCTTCACGAAAGGGATATTACAGATGCAGTGAGATAACTTTTTTCCATGCCTCTGATGACAATCAAAATAATTCCTTCTGAGTTACAACCCAAATTGAACTGTTCATGTCCTAGAGTGCAGGGGAGATGTACTTGCTTTGGAAAAATGGTCTGCACAGGTCCCAAATCGTGCTTCATACCTTTTCACAGGGGAAGAAAAGGGCATTGGTGATGCAGAAATAACAGAACTCCTGCAGCTGTGCTCTGTGCTTATTGAGCAAACACATCACAGGAAGCAACTGGGAAATAATGAGCAGATGCATGAACTGGAAAGCAAAACTAAACATCTGTACCCTCACCAATCAAACTTCAGGGAAAACCTGGGAGGGGATCACAAATATTTACCCCACGGCTAATGAAGTGCAGAAAATTCTGGCAGAATCTCTTAAGAGGGATGAAAACATCTTTAAAATGAGGCTACTGTCAGCCTCAAATGTGATGTTATGTTTAAACCATAAAGATGCATCAGCTAAGTAGATAGAAGTAGGTCAATGAGTTGGCAAACACGGCTTTCTTTCTGTTTAAGAGCCTGGGCAGTCTTGAAGGAGGATGGAATTGAGTCAACAGAGCTGTAGGAAACTGGATGGGCTCCTGCAGCAAGCAGAAAATAGAGTTTTCTGAGCCAGTTTTGATGGGCTCTTTTAACCAGCCTTAGCAGGAGATGTGTGGGCTGCCTGCAGTCCTCAGGCAGAGGCAGTGGTGCACTCCAGGGCACAGGATGAGGCTGTGCAGGGTCAGGCAGGGAGGCTTGCAGGGGTGCAGCTATGCTGCTCTCTCTGATCCACCTCCAGCCCTGAGTCCTGAGCAGGCAGTAAGGCAGAACTCCCAAGGCCCCTCTGGAGAAGGGATTTGGAAGAGGATGAGAGTACACAGATATATAATAGAAAATGTTTTCAGTAAGGATAATGAAAAGCTTGTTTTTCCTAACTCGTCTTCTCAGATCATAAGCTTTTTGTTACGTGACTGACCAGCCCTTAGGACAGAAGCAGCCACACTTACATGGGAGATGTCTTAACACATTTGTAAGAGAAATAAAAACAATAAATCAACAGGAGACTCTCCACTGACTTCAGAGATCACTGGGCTGGGCTTTCTCTGTCAATAGTAATTTGGGATCTCTGCTGCTTAGATATTCATGGCTACTGCCATTGAAATGAATTGGCTGCAATATCAACATAAAGGGATGCACATCACTCTGCATCTCCAATTGCTTGATAGCTTTATAGAGAAGTCCCTTGAGAAAGAAATTGGTAAAGAGTTCTAAACTCTTCTACTGTTCTTTGATGTCCTCAGACAACTTGTGTCAGAGATGGAAGTAAATGCAGGAAGACGTAAGAGTCAGCAAAAAAGTTTCAAGTGGAATTCAAAATCATTAAATGCATAAACTGACTAAAAATCTTTCTATATCTCAGCTTTTGTGCTCAACTGACACGTGTGTTAAGTCAGTACAATGAAAATCAGAGTGCTTGTTCCAAATGTTCATACTGTCTTGGAGGAACTCGTGAATTCATGGAGAGGACCGTGGAGGGAGTGATGGGGGAAGGATTTGACTACTGAGCAGGAAGAAAGATAAAGGGAAGGACTGAATAAAATGCAAATCAGGAAAATCAGATAACTATGACAAATACAAATGAGCTCTGAAAGACTTTCTGAGTAGAGTCTCTAAGAACTGTAACAAACTTTAATATGTTTTGGGAACAAGATAATGAGACGAGGGAGTCAGTGCTACAGAGGCTGGCATGCTTCTGGTACACATAAATATCCCTTCTCACCACAAAGCAGCTCAAGCCCTTGTCCCTTTGAATCTCCTAACCTAAGGCATCGTGGGAAGAGCAGGGTGGGAAAACCTTGCTTCTTCTGAGGTGTTGCCTGTGTCTCAGCAAGTGGGCCAGTACTGAAGCGCTAGATGGAGGATGGCATTCATTTTCGTGTGAGTCCTTTGCTGAGGCTTTTCTGGGTGAGTGGTGATGGGCTGAAGCTGCTGGCTCCCAGCTCAGCTCCATGGTGGGAATCTCTGCTTGGGATGAAGCTTCAAAGCAATCAGTGTGATGACAAGAAGCATGACAGCACTGAAGCAAGATGCCACAGACACATTTTCCATGGCTCAGGGGATATTTAAGTTGTAAACCATCTGCATATGTGGAGGTACTCTGTGCTCTGAGGCTGTTTTCACCAAAAGGACATCTAAAAACTAAAAGAGATAAAAATGAATAGTCATCATTATGGACTGGATTTCTGCCAGCTGCTAAGTAATTAGAGTTTTAATTGCCCAGTAATAAAAGTTTTAATTACTCAGCAATTAGTGTTTGAAGTTTCAAGTGCTTCACATGCACTCAGTTGCATCCTTGAATTGTCAAGAGTAAAAAATGGAGTAGCTCCAGTGTGCCTCAGCAAAGCTCTGAGCAAGAGAGGGAAACATCAGGGATGGGGCAGCTATGCCTGAAACCCATCCTAACTGCTCTATCTACCTGCAATATATTTATTGCAATTCAACAAAATATTTTACCTATTCCCTAGCTAATTTAAGGCCAAAATACCCTTTGTTGTGTCAGGTATGTGTTGCTTCATACCTAGCATTATTGTGATTCATTTTTCATATGATTTATTATCCATAAAGGTCCCAAAGCTCTGGTTTCTCTCTTCTTGCTTTACTAGAACTTAAATATCATTAACAAGACAAACTATAACAAAGTCAGCAGTTGCCAATGCTGCAGGAAGCAGCAGGGCTGCATTTAGGGTACAGAGACTAGAAGAAGCTGCATATTTATGATCTGCTTGGGTAACCCAAAAGAGGTAAATTGTCTGACAAACCATGTAGTCAGAGAGCTGGGACAGCTTTTCCATAACATAATTACAGTTGCTCCAGTTTTTTTTTTTTTGTTTTTTTTTTTAATGTCCAGAGGGGAGAGCTTTAAATGATGTTCAGGTCATTTACAGGCAGCATGCAAAATCCATCAGAAGAACTTTGGCAAAACCAGACAAAATTGATTTAGTATAAATGTTTTATGGAAAAAAAAATCTGGTAGAGGAAGGGTGGGTTGAAACTTTCCAGAAATTCAGAGTAAGCTTCATGTTCTATTACATGTTACTCATAACTCTAAAGAATCTTACTTTTGACAGGGGAATCATAGTGACTTTCAAAATGTGGGGATTTGTTTCCTTTTTTCTTAGACTGGTTTCCAAATTTATCTATTGGTAAAGAGAGTTAAAGTAGAGAAGTGAAGTTTATGGGAAACATACCAACAGTCACATAAGCACTGATTTAAAAAAAAACACCTTCTTATTCCTTACTGAATATTAGAAAAAACCCAACAAATTCAAATTATGAAACACCAAAATTAAATAATATGCAAATAATAATATATAAATTAAACACTAAACAAAGTCTTCCACTTCTGCTCCGAAAGCAATTTAGACCTTTTAACAGTACATGGATGGTTAGTAACCTAGTTAATAACTCAAAGCATTTAGTAATGCTTCTCTAAGGCAGCATCAGATGTTTTCTATACCCTGGACTGTCCAGGTCATTGATTCCACAAATACTCCACTTCACTGGGGTGCTGAGTCCAGGGACTGTACATATGTTCCCTGTCTCATTTCCCTGAGACAATGTCTGTAGTGCACTTCACAGTGGGCCACAGATACCTGATGGTAGCAGGCTCTGTTTTTTCCAGTTATTACACTGCAGAGTATTAAAGTCACACTAAGCTGGGATTCACCTCACTGGATGTGGCTGTCTTGTCTAAGCTGGTAACAGGCTCAGGGAAGGGACACAGACAGCTGGGTGAGTCACTCCTTCCAAGTGTAAATGCCCAGGACAGATGAGCTAATTACTCTCTGGTGGATCTGTCTCTAATAAATAAGGGGAGATCAACATTTAGATAATTGAAACCAGGAGAAATGTGGACTCTCAGAAGCATGACAGTAGAAGAATGGACCAGGAAAAGTAGGTTTTTTTGAGTATCGGTGCTGGTTTCCCCTTTCAGATCCAGGAAAAGGGCCTGTATTTCAGACAAGGTTAATGTGCAATTATTATTCCTTTCACCTCTGAGGCTGAAACTCACAGTCCCAGGCTTGGATAACAAAGCACCCTATGTTAGGCACCCTGTGGACCCAGGACAAAGAGCTGACCTCCATCCTTGGTAGATCAGGGCTAAAGCAGTCCCTGCCACACATTTCATTTATAGTGAAAGGCCGTACTGTGCAGTAAGACCTTGCAAGGGGCAGTTCTTTACATGACTCTGCTATTGAAAAGTGCTGCTTCTTGTCAGTGTTTGGCACCTTATAGAACTTCTGTCTTCCCATTACTATTTTCCAGCTATGCTTTTCCCATCTGCTCAGCGATTCAAGAGGTCCTCAGCTGCCTTCCTCAACCCAGTGCTACAAAACTCTGTGGAAGATGTGGTCCTGCTTTATGAGGTTCAGTATACGGTGCCAAGATTGGGGGTACTGGCCATACTGGGGTTGCCCATTATCTGGCTTCATGTCACTTTTATTCACCCCATTATTCAGTAAACCTGTGGCTGTGTGATAGTTCACCAGAAGGGTGGGAACACATAGAAAAATTCTGGTCTTCCCCACCTCCAGACAGTGCAACTGTCTCCATTTGACAAAAAGTAAAGACCCAAGGACATGTTGTTAATTCACATGTACTCTGTCTAGAGTCTCCTGGAGAGAATAAATAGCTTTCTGTGTTCTGATTTTGTACCAGTTTCTTTTAGCTGAGCTTGACATTGACAAAGGTCAGAGGATCTCCATCAAAGATGAGGAGCTGGCTTCCCTGAGGAAGGCTGCTGAGTTCAACACCATCTGCAACGAGATTATCCCCAAGAGCATCCCAGAGATCCGCAGGCTGAGCAGCAGGCTGTCTTCCTACCCGAGGGTCCTCAAGAAAGAGGACTTTGAAAGGACAGTGCTGACCATGGTCTACGCGGCCTACAGAGCTGCTCAGTCCCAGGGGCACCAGAGGGACACTTGGGCTGAATCCTTTGTCCACCTCTACAAAGCCCTGAAGAACGACTTGATGCTCTCCTACAGCAAGCAGCCCTCATAGTGGCAGAGGAGCAGCGCCTCAGCCACCTGCTCTGGTTGAGGAAGGACACAATGGAGAACACCCAACACTTTATCACTTTATTTGTTCAATAGCCTGCTTCGTGAACGATTGTTCGTTTTCTGGCTCCCTCTTGTGGAATCCGCTTTCTAGTGCCATGCTAAACGGTGAAAAACGTCTTCAGTCCTGAGAATTCGATTTTTGTGCTGGCTTGGAGGCACGTTCTGTGACAGGAAAATAAGGGAGTTACACCCAGGCAGACCCTTGTTTCAGGCCAACCCTTGATTTCATCCTTCGGGTTTCCTATAAGCAATACATAAATGTACTGTGCTTATGCTCACGTGCTGATGTGCAAGTGCTGGAGACTGCTGCTCTCCTAGCTGGGGAAACAAGGTCATGTTTTGGCTGGCCAGTAAGAGAATATTACCCAGAGGTGAAGGCCCGCTGGAAAAGGAAGATGTTTCATAACAGTCAGCCTTCAGAAATGATGCCACATTTTATTCATTCCAAATGTTCTCATAAATAAGCCCTCTCTGATTCGCTTAATTTGGCTGAGCCAGTGTTTAATTGCAATAACATTTGTAGAAGACAAAGGGCATTGTGAAGACCA